ATGAATTTGAGACCACTTTGTGAGGGTTACTGCCCCACAGTCATGTCTCTGCTGAGGCAGAATCTGCATTTGTTACAGCTCTTAGCACAATTTCTATGTATCACATGTAAGATTCATCTCAGATTTTCTGAGTTAACATTGAGGATGGTTTGGGAAAATGCCATAGTCATCTAACTTTTTTCTTTTAAATCAAGCTGGGTCCTCTTTCTCCTCTCCCCATCTGCCCCCATCCCTGCTAGATGAGCTTGGGGCAGAGGGCGAAGCTGACCTGCACCCCTGATGTGGCATATGGAGCCACGGGCCACCCTGGTGTCATCCCTCCCAATGCCACCCTCATCTTTGACGTGGAGCTGCTCAACTTAGAGTGAAGGCAGGAAGGAACTCAAGGTGGCTGGAGATGGCTGCTGCTCTCCCTCCTAGCCTGCTCTGCCACTGAGACGGCTCCTCCTGTTGGGGCTCTTGATCAGTGTGCTGACCTCACTGCCCCATGGCATCATGTGTTCTCTCTGCCCAAGTTGCTCTGTATGTGTTCGTCAGTGTTCATGCGAATTCTTGCTTGAGGAAACTTCGGTTGCAGATTGAAGCATTTCAGGTTGTGCATTTTGTGTGATGCATGTAGTAGCCTTTCCTGATGACAGAACATAGATTTCTTGTTCGCACAATCTATACTGCCTTACCTTCACTTAAGCCACACACACAAGGTGCTCAGACATGAAATGTACATGGTGTACACAGAGGGACTTGAGCCAGTTACCTTTGCTGTCACTTTCTCTCTTATAAATTCTGTTGGCTGCTCACAGTGTCCTCTTTGGAAGTATGTAAAATAAAGGATCTGTGCTTGACAAATTCCTGTCCATCCTTATTGTAGGTAGGAAGTACTCTAAGGACCACATAAGCCAGTTGCCCTTGGGAAAGAGTGGAAAGGAGGGTTCCAGGAGGCTAGGTGAGTGATAAACATAATAGCTACAATGTGAGCATTTTACATGCTTGGCCTTGTTCTGTATACTTTTTTTTTTTTTTTTTTTTTTGAGATGGAGTCTCGCTGTCACAGGCTGGAGTGCAGTGGCACAATCTTGGCCAGGAGGCAACCTCTGCCTCCTGGGTTCAAGCTATTCTCGTGCTCACCACCACGCCTGGCTAATTTTTGTATTTTTAGTACAGACAGGGTTTTGTCATATTGGCCAGGCTGGTCTCGAACTCCTGACCTCCGGTGATCCGCCTGCCTCAGCCTTTCAAAGTGATTGGATTACAGGTGTGAGCCACTGTGCCTGGCTGTATATACTTTTAAATTATAACCATTAATCCTCTAAGCAATCCTGCAAAGTACATATTACCTGCCACCCATCTCGGGTTCAGAATTCTCCTCTGCATAACTAAAGAAATACAGGGTCCAAATCTTCTAGCCTAGCAATCAAATGTGGGATTTGAGCATCGATGTGCTCTTGCAATCTTTGTTTGGACTATAGCAAGAGGGATGAGCTCCATTCACCCAGATGGAAACAGAACACTTTGCACTTTGTGCGTCTGAACAAATGAAGATATGTTACGGGCTTGAAGTCATACACACACATTGGAAAGTTCCTTGTGAAAACAATGTGTGATTCTGACTTGTTTTCACACACATTGCTTAGTTTCACCTAGACTTGTTCTGACTTACATTGAGGAATTACTTTTGAGAAGAATGTATGATTCTGAACTTGTTTACAAATATTGTGCTTATTTCATTAACATTTATTGTAACTGACTAGAAACACCACTTAGGTTTTAAAATCAGCCAACTTTTTGGTGTAGGTTACGTGTAGGTCATGCATAGGTCAGAGGAGCCTGGGGCAATGTGCTCAAACATTTTTCTTTCAGTTGGTGTAGGGTGAGAAGAACTGCCATAGTTGGTTTTTTTTTAAAAAATCATTTATTATTTTAAAAAATGGAGATGGAGGATCTCACTATGTGGCCCAGGCTGGTCTCAAACTCCTGGCCTCAAGTTATCTTCTCTCCTCAACCTCCCAAAGTGTTGGGATTACGGGTTTAAATCACTGTGCTCAGATGATAGTTTTCTATCAGTGATGACTTGAAATTGTTTCAAGATTGAGGAGGGAGGGGCTAACAGGTACTGTTAGTGTTCTTCATAAACCCACTAATACATGTGACATGTGTCATACATATGCTATGGGGCCATGTCATCTTGGCTAAATGATCTGCCTTTTTTGTCTCCAAGAAATCCTGGCTATATTCCTTTGCTGAGGGTGGAAGAGTTAATAAAGAGGCAGTGCTTTAGGATAGAGAATGATGAGGGAAAGGAACCACTTTGCATTTTAGTCACCTACAGTCCCTGTGCTCACCTCTATTGTGGTACTAGACCAGCCAGGGGGTGTTTCCTTCAGAATGTTTTGGTTCCTTGCTTTCTTTGATGACCCAAATGCCTATAATTTCTTAGAAGTCAGCCTGTATAAAAGACATGCATATTTTCTCCTGTGACACAAATAAGGTAACTAAAGATGGCATCAAGGACTATTTCAGGTGCCCACTATGGGGCATATAAAAGATCTGTCTAGAGTATTTATAGCTGAGGTGGGTCAAAGGAGACACCCACTAAAAGAACTCCCCCAAAGTGCAAATACATACTGACTAGCACCTGGAGAGGACAGGCTAGGCTCTGCAGGTAATCTGGGAAATGAACCTTTTTACTGGAGCTCTTAAAAGATGATGCAGAAAATTATGATGCAGTATACTAAGAGTTTGGACATTGTCCTGTTAGAGCCACTCAAGTTGTTAAACAGAGGAGCAATAATAAGATCAAGGTCACATCAGTTTTCAAACTTTCAGTCAATGAATTCTCTATTCATACTAATTTTTTCTTAGAAACCCAAAAATTTAACCTAGATGAAAGTAAAGCAGCTCTGGCACAGGTGTGCACATATAAACACACAGTCATCTGTTGCACTCTTAAAAGCAGTTTGAAGCCGGGCGCGGTGGCTTACACCTGTAATCCCAGCACTTTGGGAGGCCGAGGTGGGTGGATCATGAGGTCAAGAGATTGAGACCATCCTGGTCAACATGGTGAAACCCCGTCTCTACTAAAAATACAAAAAATTAGCTGGGCACGGTGGTGCGCATCTGTAATCCCAGCTACTCAGGAGGCTGAGGCAGGAGAATTGCTTGAACCCAGGAGGCAAAGTTGCGGTGAGCCAAGGTCGCGCCATTGCACTCCAGCCTGGGTAACAAGAGTGAAACTCTGTCTCAAAAAAAAAAAGCAGTTTGAAAATTGAGCTTTGGATGCCTTATGAATAGGATTGATCATAATATCCTCAGTATCTTGGTACAGTACTGTGTGCAAAGCGGGGTTCAGTGTTTGTACACTGAGTGCAAGTTCTTATAACTTAATTGGGACAGGACACAGAATTTCCAAACAATTAGAGGGAAGTTTTTTGAGATGGAGTTTTGCTGTTGTTACCCAGACTGGAGTGCAATGGCACGATCTTGGCTCACCGCAATCTCTGCCTTCTGGGTTCAACTAATTCTTCTGCCTCAGCCTCCCGAGTAGCTGGGACTATAGGTGCACCCCACCATGCCCAGCTAATTTTTGTATTTTTTAGTAGAGACAGGGTTTCACCTTGTTGACCAGGATGGTCTTGATCTCTTGACCTCGTGATCCACCCGCCTCGGCCTCCCAAAGTGCTGGGATTATAGGTGTGAGCCACCACACCCAGCCTTAGAGGGAAGTTTTAGAAGTCTTAACTTTAGGTCATGAAATTCAGCTAACAGATATATTAATCCAAATGATGGACTGGTCATGATTGCTAATAGAAGGAATTTTTCCTTGTTATTAAAACAACTACACCAGAGGCAAGCTAGCCTGCCATTTAGACAAATCACACTCAAAGTTTTCAATTCTAATTTCAGTTTTTCTCTTATAAGCAAGTCTTTTAGAAAATTCTTTTTACATTACCTAAAGGCACACCATGCATTATAAAAACTAATAATACATGCATAAAAGCATTCAAAAGAAAATTACAGCTGTGGCTCCTTTCTTATCTGCCAACCTTAGAAATGACTCTTTTACTCTCTTACAGGGCTTTCAAAAAACACTCAAGATATAATTAAAAGCAGAATTGATGCTCATTGTCCATTGAATTGATTCAGTGTATGTACCCTTCAAATTGATTTTAGGTTCCAATTACACACAAAACAATTAGTCCGTATTTTTCCATTTGGTCTATGCCTAAGTGATAAAAAGAATATTATGACTATATTCTCCCAAGCTGCCACGATGATGAATGGGATAATAACCATAGTATCTCCATGTCATGAGAACTCATGATAATAAGAATGAGCGTTAAGTATTTTATTTATGGCAAAGATATTTTATGAGCTAAGGTCCAAAATACATACAGACGCTTGATAACTAAAAGAAAAGGCTACATAAATACAATTTTAGACACATAACAACCAACACCACTATCCAAGCAGCTTGCTCTCAAACTTCTACCAATGTGACAACCATTATATACCCATAATAATTTTCAAAAAAATTTAGAGAGGCAAATCTAAGTTTCTAACAGTGTACTACCATCTAAATGACCATTTCTAGAATAGACCTCTGTTCTAAGACAAGGGTACCCATACTGACAAAGGTATTTTGTTAACTATAAAGCAAGCATCATTCAAATGTAAAGGCTTGGTTGCTATTACACCAGCTTTGTAGGTTAGCATTTTATTCATTCACCCAACATCATGAGCTTTGGTTTCCTCGCCTGCAAAATGCAAATACCTATCTTCACTGAGTTGTTATAAAGATCCATTATTAATAGACATTCAATAAACAGCAAGTTCCTTTGACGGCTAAGCACTGCACTGGACCCCGGAGGCATTAAGAATATAAAGAGGTCCTGTTTTCAAGAAACTCGGACTCCCTAGGAGCACCTACAATTCCTGATAAGCTTCAACTATTTTTTTCCTGGTATCAAACAGGGAGGGAAAGTTCAAAAGAAAAGACAGACGTGTTTCACAAAAAGCAACAGGTTTATTAATATCATGTATTCTGATATGTATCAAAGTTTCAAGGTCATTTTGAACCTAAAATAAGAAATCACAATATTTAGTATTAATTAAAAAGGAAAAAAAGGGAAAAGATGGTAGTTGTCATTCATGGTTTCAGTCCAAAATGAAAATGTAGAAAACATTTATTTTGGTGGATCTGTGTTGATGCCATACTTCTCCTTGAGAAGCTTCAACTGTTCCTCCTTCTTCTTTGTGTCCATCTTCTGAAATGCCTGGAAATGCAGTAAGCACCAAAGTTGAATTACCGATCTACAGCCAAATAAATTTCACCAATAGCATTAGCCAAAAAATAGTCACAGTAGACATATATCGTCACAGCACAGTTCTACACTAATTTTCAAATGAGATCACCATACAAGGAGAACTTGGCTATACTTACCCTGTTGGCATTATAGTACAAAACCACAAGGTATCTGTTACAAACATTGAATCCTGATAGGTGATCACATGCATTCTTGGCATCAAAGATGTCCTCATAGACCACATAAGCTGTTCCTCTAGTTTCAGGTGTGTTCCCCCTGGAGAGTTAAATCAAACTTAATTAAGATATACGTTTACCTGAGCATTGAGTTGAATAACAGAACTGTCTTTTAAACTGGTAACTGTCTTCTAAAGACAGTAAACTGAAATATGTTTTTAATTTAAATATTTTGAAACCAACCTGAAACCATAAGAGGAAATAAACACGCATAGATAACTAGATAAGCCTGTAATTTCTTGAATTCGGTAATTTTGTTTTTTGTTTTTATCTTAAGTAAAACATCTATAGGTCAAGCTTACTGCTATATCAGGAATACTAGGAACACAGCTACTACCCAGAACTCAGCTTCTTACCACCCTGTCTGGCACTACATTGCTTTTTTTTTGAGATGGAACCTCACTCTTGCCTAGGTTGGAGTGCAGTGGCATGATCCCAGCTCACTGCAACCTCTGCCTCTCAAGTTCAAGTGATTCTCATGCCTCCCAAGTAATTGGGACTCCAGGCATGTGCCACCATGTCCAGCTAATTTTTGTACTTTTAGTAGAGATAGGGTTTTGCCCTGTTCCCGGGCTGGTCTCGAACTCCTGACCTCAAGTGATTGAGCTGCCTCAGCCTCCCAAGGTGTTGAGATTACAGGCATGAGTCACCAAACCTGGTCTACATTCATTTTTAATACAACTCAATGCCTTTTTAATACAAACTCTAATGCATGATACAGCTGTATGGCTGGGGAGAAGGGCTAGGCTTCTGCAAAGATGGGAGTGGAAGTGTGCTTATAGATAGGGTTATCTGTGAGCAAGGGCAGAATGCTGGAAGGTGACTGGAAGTGGAAACTAGACCTTACTCATAGATATGGGGCTGCTGTTAGTGTAGGTATTCCTGGCCACTTCCTTCCTTCACTTCATCAGCTTCCTCTGAGAGAGGTAGAGAAGTGTGAGGAGCAACAGAACACTAAATTGTAGGCAGCAGCTGGCCATGTGATTGTCAGTGGGGACAATGGGTAGAGTTCCCACTCAGTTCATGCTCTGGATGACAAGATGGCCCCCTTGCCTCCATCTGTGTTCTGACCACCCAGTGCAACCGTGGAATGAGGTTTAAGATTGTTGGCTTTCCATCTGCCACAGTCCCTACATAGGGTTGAATAAAAGCAGTGGAGCCATGGGAAGTGGAGGCACATGCCTAGACTTGATCTAGGACAAGATTATAGTCCGGGCCCTGCTCAAGCTTCTGCTTCCTATAACATTGAAAAGGTGCAGGGTGCTGAGGGTGATTGGAGGGTGCCAGTGTCAATGAGTATGCTCACTTTGTCAGGTTACGTGGGCCTGATCTCGGGTTTTAGAATGTTCTTTAGGATCTGGGAAGTCTTAACAACTTTCAGACTTTTGACTTTTAAAAACTTAACAAGATTTTCAGTTCTTTAAGAGCAAAGGTGATCTTATGCCTACTTCATTTACTCCTATAGTGCCACACATAAGGCAGATGCTAATATGCCTTTGAAAGGTGGAGATCTACTTCCTATCAATTCTCTCACACATACTTTCTCCAGGAAGCTCAAAACAAAGCAACTCTCTTTCTTCCTCTTACATCTTCTTAGGAACCAGCATAGGGATAGATACTAACCCCACTTTAAAGACCCTCCATCTCAAGTGTCCCAGTCTTAATTATCAGCCTCACATCTTGAGAGCTGTATTATAATCTGAACATATATATATATATTTTGAGATGGAGTCTTGCTCTGTCGCCCAGGCTGGAGTGTAAAGGCGCTATCTCGGCTCACTGCAACCTCCACCTCTTGGGTTCAAGTGATTCTCCTGCCTCAGCCTCCTGAGTAGCTGGGATTACAGGCACCCGCCACCATGCCTGGCTAATTTGTTTTATCTTTAGTAGAGACAGGGTTTCACCATGTTGGCCAGGCTGGTCTCAAACTCCTGACCTCATGATCTGCCTGCCTCGGCTTCCCAACATGCTGGGATTACAGGCATGAGCCACCGTGCCTGGCCAATTGGAACTTTTAAAAGCATGTATTTGTACCATGTATAGGGCACTGAGCTAACATTATTTTCTTATTTTTTTTAGATAATGTCAAGCAATTCTCATGCAAGTGTGTGCCACCATGCCTGGCTAATCATTTGTATTTTTAGTAGAGATGGGGTTTTGCCATGTTGGCCAGGCAGGTCTCCAACTCCTGGCCTCAAGTGATCCACTCTCCTGAGCCTCCCAAAGTGCTGGGATTATAGTCGTGAACCACTGCGCCTGGCCATAATATCATTTTCTTGATTGGCAGTAAAAGCTTCCAGTAGGAATAACACCTGATCATGTAACTTAGCCTCTATGAGCTTCAGCTGCCTCACATGTCCAGTGACATCAGGCTCTATCATGTGCCCTGCCTTCCATGTGGGCATTTAATAAGGTGCCCTACCTTCCATGTGGGTTTAATAATCAAAAGAGGTAACAAGTATTAAAGAGTTTTAAAACGTACAAAGTACCAAGTGTCTGCTACATGCCAGGCAGGGTCAAACCAAATCATCCTGCTTTGACTGGGACTATCCAGGTTTTAATATTGAAGTCCAGTCTCCCAGAAAGTCTCTCAGTACTGGACAAACTGGGAAGGTTGGTCACCCTAGTGCCAGGTGCCAGATATACAAATAAAGGATGACCATAGTTGTAGAACAGAAAAACAGCTGTTTCTCGATCTATAATTTAGACCTAAGCTCCTGTACCCTAAAATTCTGTGTTTACACTGTGTTCTTTCTGTGACAGGCACTAGAAATACAATAGTGAAAAAGACAAGCATCATCCCTTCCTCCAAGCTTATATTCAGGCAGGAGAGAGACACTTAATAAATATGAAATAATTATAAATCTTAAGAAATGTTTCAGCCTGGTACAGTGGCTCATGCCTGTAATCCCAGCACTTTGGGAAGCTGAGGTGGGAGGATCACCTGAGGTCAGGAGTTCAAGACCAGCCTGGCGAACATGGTGAAACCCCATCTCTAGTAAAAATACAAAAATTAGCTGGGCGTGGTGGTAGGTGCCTGTAATCCCAGATACTCAGGAGGCTGAGGCTGGAGAATCATTTGAACCTGGGAGGCGGAGGTTGCAGTGAGCTGAGATCGTGCCATTGCACTCCAGACTAGGTGACAAAAGTGAAATTGTCTCAAAAAAAAAAAAAAGTTTCATAAAGGAAGTAGAAAGCTGTAACAGATTAGTGGAAAACAGGGAGCTACTTCAGCTAGGGTGGTCAGGGAAAACCTCTCTGAAAAGGTGACATTGAAGCTGAAACCTGAAGAATGAGAAGGAGCCAGGCATGAGATAAGCTGGTGAAAACCAATCCAGATACAAGGACTAGATGCACAGTTTCTGAGCTGCTCTGCACTCTTCTCAAGATGCCCTGCTTTATTCCTTGTCCTTTCATTTTGGCTTTCTGAAACATTCTCTAACTTCATTGATTTAAGCATCCCTTAATTGAATGCTATCAATAAACTTTATAATGCCTTCATAAGCCAATCATAACCACTTTTTCTATTTTTTTTGTTTTGTTTTGTTTTTTGAAGCAGGGTCTCACTCTGTTGCCCAGACTGGAGTGCAGTGGCGCGATCTTGGCTCACTCACTGCAGCCTCCGCCTCCCAGGTTCAAGTGATTCTCCCACTTGAGCCTCCCAAGTAACTGGGATTACAAGCACGTGCAACCGTGCCCAGCTATTTTTTGGTAGAGATGGCATTGCATTATGTTGGCCAGGCTGGCCTCGAACTCCTGACCTTTGGTGATCTGGCTGTCTCGGCCTGCCAAATTGCTGGGATTACAGGTGTGAGCCACTGCGTCTGGCCTATTCTATTTTCTATATTACTCATTTAGTATACATTGGGTGCTTACCATGTATCACACAAGTGCTATCAACACAAAAACAAAAAGAATATAAGGTACCAGCCCTGGAGGAACTCAGCCTACTTGGGGCAACCAGAGACAACAGCAAAACCACATGTTAACCTGGGAGAGACACTTGGAAATGCTATAGGAGCAGGGAAGGAGTGGCCAATGAACACAAGGAAGAAAAACTCTGTGATAAAGTACCTTCACAGACACTGCCTAATTTGATCCAAACTAAATTCTTTTTTTTGAGATGGAGTCTTGCTCTGTTGCCCAGGCTGGAGTGCAGTGGCATGAGCTCAGCTCACTACAACCTCCGCTTCCCAGGTTCAAGTGATTCTCCTCCCTCAGCCTCCTGAGCAGCTGGGATTACAGGTGGCTGCCACCATGCCCAGCTAATTTTTTTTGTATTTTTAGTACAGATGGGGTTTCACCATGTTGGCCAGGATGGTCTCGATCTCCTGACCTTGTGATCCACCTGCCTCGGCTTCCCAAAGTGTTGGGATTACAGGTGTGAGCCACCGTGCCCAGGCACTAAAATTCTTTTAAGACAAGTAGGTTGGGAAGACTGTTATTTCGTAGATAATTGAAGCCCAGATAAGGTTAAATATTTTGCCCAGTTTCATAAGAGTAGGCAAGCTAGTATTTAAATCGAGGCCTTACAACCAATCCATTCTGCTTCAACGTTAAAAGCTAAAAGGCCACCACCCAAATTATCTAATACAAGAGAAAACCAAAAAAAGCTAGGCAACTAGTGACACACATGGCTAGTAACAGGGCCCGAAGTAGAATCTTGTCTCCTGATTTTCAGACAAAATCAGGTCTTGAACTCCTAATCGTGTGTGTGTGTGTTTGTTTCCAGCTCTTGGTTTACTCCCTGGAGGACAGTGTCATTAAAAAGGCGGGCCCTCAAGACCTCACAGTCCTAAAGCCTGGAAGGAGCTCTCAGGTCATACAAGACAGAATTCCGACTAGAAATAAAAACTTTATATGTAGTCATTACAGTGGTAAAATAATAATTTTTTTTTTTTGAGACAGAGTCTTGCTCTGTCACCCAGGCTGGAGTGCAATGCATGATCTCCGCTCTCAGCTGACTGCAACCTCCGCCTACTGGGTTCAAGCAATACTCCTGCCTCAGCCTCCCAAGTAGCTGGGATCACAGGCATGAGCCACTGCACCCGGCTATTTTTGTATTTTCAGTAGAGACAGGTTTTCTCAATGTTGGTAAGGCTGGTCTCAAACTCCTGACCTCAGGTGATCCACCCACCTCAGCCTCCCAAAGTGCTGGGGTTACAGGCATGAGCCACCGTGCTCAGCCAATTAGAATTTTTTTTTTAAATAAAAACTTTAGAACTCCTTTCAGATGGACTCTTAAGCCACTAGCCCTTTCATATGAGTTAGGGTGTCAGAGGCTATGGTACTATGTAATGTGGAGGTTCAGTTTAGAGTCAGAAGATTTTACCACTAAGCACTGTGAGACTAGGAAGGTACTTTCACTCTCAGGGCTATAGTTTCCTTGATGCAAATAAAAGCACTTATTATGGTTAATGATATTCAGTAGATGTCCAGCAAATATCACTTGTGGGTATGAACTCCAATCTTTATATTAAATTAAAACATAAAAGCTTGTAAATAGATGTTTTCCCCTATACTTTTAAATCTTCAATTGAAGAGCTGTAGTTGAAAATATCATTTTTTTTTTCTGTTACTTTTATCCTCTTTTACTTAGCTTATTCAGATTCTGAGGTTATTTGAAGGGACAGTGATGATTGTTGAGAAAATTACAGAGCTACTGCATACAAAAAACAGTGTAACACCTGGCTTTACAAATCGTAGGTATGCAATAAATGTTAGTTCTTTCCCTTCTCAACCAGTTTCCTCAAAGCATTCACTGAAACTCAAACCCTCTTCTTGGCTCTCATTGAGCTGGATCATTAGGGTCTCAGTCGGTTTTTCCCCGTTTCAAAAAGATCTCATCTCTCTGATCGCAATCAGTTAGTCTCTAGGCTCTTGGTAAGGGTTGCTGCACTACACACCGCACAGGGTGGCCTCGCCGTCAGCTATAATTCTGAGATTACAGATTATGCTCTCATTTTCTTTAACCCAGTAAGACTCACACTCTGATCTGACGAATAGGTCCATATTTCCCAAATATATCATACATTTCTTCAGCTGTGATTTTGTATGGCAAATTTCTTATATACAATATTCGATTTACTTCAGGTGGAAGTCGAATCTAAAATGAGAAATATGTATTGTTATTATAATTAGGAGAAGTGCTACCATTTTAAAAAATTCTTAATGATACATAATAAAAAGCTGTGAATAAGAGGTATAATTTGATGTTTCTGAAAATGCCAAGATCTTTGAAAAAGCAACAGAGGCTGGGTGCAGTGGCTCATGCCTATAATCCTGGCACTTTGGGAGGCCAAAATGGGAGGATCACTTGAGCCCACGAGTTTGAGGCTAGCCTGGACAACATAGTGAGACCCCCATCTCTACAAAAAATTTTAAAACCTAGCCAGGCATGGTGGTAGGTACCTGTAGGCCTCCTCAAGCTTTACTGTCATCACTCCTGCTAACACCTGAGTTGGCCTGTACCCTCTGCCCTGTCCATCCCAGGAGATGATCCTGATTCTTGTTTCTTAGAGAAAATAGACATGGCCAATTGGTAAATACTTTTCATCTATATCTACCTACTCTCCCTCTATTACTATGCCAACCTTCATCTACTCAAAACCTTCACTTCTCTTTGATATGGAAGAAACCTATCTTTCTTCCATATCAATATTCTGGATTGCTCCCATTGGCATAAAAATACACCTATATCACACATATTTTAAAAAGTCAACTATCTGGCCGTGTGTGGTGTCTCATGCCTGTAATCCTAGCATTTTGGGAGGCCAAGGCAGGTGGATCACTTGAGGTCAGGAGTTCGAGACCAGCCTGGCCAACATGGTAAAACCCCATCTCTACTAAAAATACAAAAAGTTAGTCAGTCATGGTGGTGGGCACCTGTAATCCCAGCTACTAGGGAGGAGGCTGAGGCAGGAGAATTGCTTGAACCCAGGAGACAGAGGTTTCAGAGAGCCAAGATTGTGCCACTGCACTCCAGCCTGGGCTGTGAGAGTCTATCTCAAAAAAAAAAAAAAAGTCAACTATCATCCAATTTCCCTAATTCCTATTTACATGAGAACTCATGGGCAGAGTGTCTTTGCTGTTTCCAGTTTCTCAAATTCCACCGTCTTTTCAACCCACTGCAATCAAGTTTTATCCACTGAAATGATTACTATCATCAAGGCCACCAAAGTCTCCATTTACATAGCCAGTAATCAATTGTCTATCTTTCCTTTTTTTTTTTTTTTTTTTGAGTCGAGGTCTTGCTCTGTCGTCCAGGCTGTAGTGCTGTGCAGAGGCACAGTCACGGCTCAAGGCAGCCTTGAACTCCTGGGCTCAAGCAATCCTCCAACCTTAGCCTCCCAAAGTGCAGTGATTACAGACATGAGCCACATTGCCTGGCCTGACTTCATCTTATACCTCTAAGCGTTTTACAGTTGTCTAATCTCTTTTTTGAGTTCATTTTTTAAAGTCTCTGTAACACTGCACTCTCAAACACTAGAATGTAAGCAGAAGGACTTGTTTTATTCATTGCTATATTCCCAATACATAAGACTAGTCTGGCACATAGTAGCTAGCTGTTCAATAGATATAACTGATCAATTATTTCCCATATGGCAAGATAGGTGCTAAAAAAATAGTTTCAATTAATATATTAATGAAGGATCCAAAAAGCTCCATGATCCCAGGCCCTAGTTTTTGGTGAACTATTTAGTTAGTTATTGAGGACTCGTCTGCGCTATCGACTTTTAGCCGAGGAGATAATCCTAACGCCAGGTCAAGCAAAGAGGCTATAGGGTTAACACTATCACTGACATTAGGGTAGAGACTGAGGAACTCTCAAAAGAGGTGAATGCAGAAATGTCGCTCAAGGAGCGTATCTTTGAGGATGGGACCAGGATAGTGTCTTCGTTGACAGGATAGGAATTCTGGGGTTCTCCGCTCTGGGGACGGAGGAGGGGCAAGAATGCTTCGATCCACGCCGCTGAGAAAGTCAAACCCGAAGTTCTCCCACCCTCCACAGAACACCCGATACTCACGTTCGCCCTCTTGGCCGCTTGCATCGCCATCTTGGCGGGCTGATGAGGTTACCGTAGCAAATACTGAAATTCCTCCGGACACCTCCGGAGCTCGCTCGGCTTCGGACGCTACACCGCGTTAGATGCAGGACATCAACATCCAGGATCCGCCGGAAGCTCTAACAGCACCCCAGGAATAGCGCCGTCTCACGCCGAGACGCGCTGACGTAGCATCCCCCTTCGAATAGGCTCCGGGGTAAAACCGAGCCTGAGCGAGACCCACGGCCGGAAGATGGAAAGGCGAGCGTCCAAGACACTTCCGGGCTCCGTAGCGTAAAGGGCGGGGCGTAGCCTGCAAAAGGCGAGATGTTCCGGTAGGGGAGGCCCTGAGCAGAGGGAACTGGGTGGAGGGGGCGGGGCCTGCGGAGGATGGTGAGCTGGGGTGGAGCCCAGGTGAGTAGCTGGGGGGCGGAGGCGGGGCCTGAGCTGGATTTGACAGATGGGGCGAGACCTAGGTCAGTAGCCGGAGACGGTGGGTGCTGAGAGCTGGGGCAGGGCCCAGGTGATACAGAAGAGGGCGGGGCCTGAGGAGGTGCTGAGCAGGGTGGGGCCCAGGTGAGTAACGGGGCGGCGACGCAGGGACTGGGGAGGGTGGTGAGAGGTGGGGTGGGGCCTGAGGAGGGTGCTGAGAGCTGGTGCGGGGCCCAGGTGAGTATCGGGGGGGGGGTCGGGGCCTGAGGGCGGTGAGCTGGGGCGGAACCCAGGTGAGTAGCCGGAGGGGGCGGGACCTGAGGAGGGTGGTGGAGGTGGGGCGGGGCCCAGATGTGTAGCGCGCTGTGGTGGGGCCTGAGGAGAGCAGCGAGAGGTGGGGTGGGACCCAAGTGAGTAGTGGGCGGGGGCAGGGTCTGCTGTGGTACCCCTTGGTTGTGGGGTGCGTGGGCAGGTGTGCAAGACGCGAGGTTGGGCCTGGGCCTCTAAGCCGTGCGCAACGCGGAGTCTCCGGGATTCTGGCGTCTTGTGTCACGGCTGACGCTGTAACTATACCCCGAATCTCCGACCCTGGAGGGGCCTTCAGGTTGAGCCTCAGCTGATCCGGCCTCTGTAATCCCCACTGCGACGCCCGCCGGACTCCCACCTCACCCCCGCCTTGGCGGCCCGAGTCCTCTTGCTGCCCTACCAGTACCCTCTTTATTTCCTTAGACCAGCTTTACACGACTGGGGGAAGCACCTGGTTTCTGCCTGTCTATTGTAAATCTACTCCAGGTTTGCTGTGGAAAGGCCTGGGGTGGCCGCGTCCTGTCCTGTCCCCTCTTCCTTCACTGGGGTACTTCCAGGACGATCTTGCCCATGTTCTTGTTGGTCTCCATGTACTTATGGGCTTCCTGGATTTCGGTCACTGGGTAGATTCTGTCCAGAACCGGCAGTAGACGTTGGGGGCCCTCCTTGGAGAAGTGGGGCAGAATTTGCTCCGTGAAAGCATTCACTAGCATTTGCTTGTACTAAAACAAGGGAAAGGAGATCATCAGCCTGGAAGAAAGCCTCACCCTGCCCTCCACATCTTCCTCAGCCTTCCTGCTCTCTCTGAAATCACATGTCTGAAAAAGCACACAGGGATACTTAATCCCTCGCTTCCCAGAATGTGTGTGCAATACCCCCCTGAAGGAGTGATGTGCCATCTCAGAATATGTCTGATAGGTATATTGTTCATTTTGAGATGAAAACATTGGAGAAATTGTAGTTTCAGAAAAGGCTAGCTGACCTTCCTCTTCAAATCATAAAGATTCCTCTAGGAGGGGTACCCTTCTCATTCTAGGGCAAGAAAATAGCCCTTATCACCAAAGACTGGAAATGGGGCTACAATGGATCTGAATAAATATGCTTAAGGAAGTAACCCTAATCTTCCATTAGTTTTACGCCCCCTACCCTGCCCCATATATCTCCTAGTGACTTCCCTAGAAATTTACCATCCCTAGCCAGACTTTGTGTTGTTATTTCTTCTCAAATTTATTATTCTTTGTCTTAAAATTACAAAAGCATCTTACTTTGGCCACTTCTTCAGACTTCACTCTCTTGTGAAGATCCCTATATACATATAAAATGAATAAAATCTGGTGGGGCACAGTGGGTCACACCTGTAATCCCAACACTTTAGGAGGCTAAGGTGGGTGGATCACTTGAGCCCAGGAGCTTGAGATCAGCCTGGGCAACACGGTGAAACCATGTCTCTATAAAAAATACAAGCTGGGCACGGTGGTATGCCTTTGTCTTGGCTACCCAGCAGGCTGATTGTGCCATGTACTCCAGCCTGGGTGACAGAGTAAGACCCTGTCTTAAAAAAAAGAAAAAGAAAAAAAAGTACATGCTTATCAATTTGGTTTCTAGATCCAGCGGAAGAAACCACATAGGAGCTAAAGAGGGGTTACAGGTGATCTCTGGCTCCCCTGTACCTCCAAATGTGTGACTTCTGTTCTGTACCAGATAAAGACTAAATCCTGAAGTAAAATGTTAGTGTCACTGAACGTCTAAGAATTGTTTTTAAATAAAGGCTTCACCTAGGAGGCAGCCACAGATAGGACTCATAGGCTCAATGCAAAAAGGATGCTTAAGCTCTCCTGTCTCTTGGCAGGTATGAAACCCTATGGTGGAAACATTCGCAAAGTTGGTACCCACTAGACTGACAGATGGAAGATTTCAGGAGCATATAATCTTTTTTTTTTTAATGGGATTTGCTATGTTGCCCAGGCTAGGGTGCAGCAGCTATGCACAGGCACAATCATAGCTTACTGCAGCCTTGAAACTCCTGGGCTCAAGCAGTCCTCCGCCTCAGCCTTCCAAGTCCCCAAGCTGGGACTACAAGCGAATGCCACTGTGCCAGGCATGGAACCTATAATCTGTTACTCAGTTTTTACTCACCTAAGAGTCTTTCTTAGCGCATTGAGATGAATTCGGCCTTTGAAAACACATTCTTGAAACTACTAGAATTACTTCCCAATATGGTCTGTGCTTTGTTCATTCTATTAGAATGTTCAGATAATATGTGAAGTATCAGCTACACTCTTCATGATACTGAAGGCTCTATCGACCAATCTGAATCAGTTCTCTGAAATCAGGTTCCCTATTTATCTTCGTAAGGGCAGGTTTCTTTATAGAAACTAACCTCCCTAACCTAAGATAGAGCTTCCTTTCTTGGGATAATGTAAATGAACCATACTTTTTCTGGGTTAAATCACGTTTTCTTTTCATTCATCACTCACCTTATTGTCCCTAGATCTCAGCAAACTGGTGATCAGACTTCCTCGCTTAAAAAGTAGCTTTGATAACAGGGGCCCATTGATGTCAGCTCCTCCTATCAGACCGTAGAGAACCCAGCGACCATCAAGAGCCAGGCAGTTGACATTCTTCTCCCAGTAGGATCCGCCTATGCAGTCTAGAATAAGATTAACTCCAGCACCTTCCATAGGAAACAGATTTGTGATGTTCGATATAGAAAGCTTGGTGCAAAATAAGATACCATGATATATTTGTAGATTATGGATGTAAATACAGATACAAATGGTAAATCTATAGGTTGGAATTAAAACACTGCTTGAAAAACTGTTGTAAATGGAGTTTAGATAGCAGAACTCTGTCATAGCATGTGTTCACCCTTTATGATGCCTAGCTACAGCAAGAAGGAAATGAGGCAACACCATGACCTAGAATCTCTTCTCATGCCAAAATAAGTACAGTCCCACTGACACCCAGACATGATTGAGAACAGAATACAGGAGGTCCAATTTAGGCTAGTTGTTCACATCGAAGTTAGAAAGTGTCTGCACTGGGTTACTGGAATTATAGGCTTGCTAGCTTTGCTTTCATCTCTCCTTTTCTATGCAAATGAAAAATGGAGGTTGGGCTCAGTGGCTCATGCCTGTAATCCCAGCACTTTGGGAAGCCAAGGCGGGCAGATCACCTGAGGTCAGGAGTTTGAGACCAGCCTGGCCAACATAGTGAAACCCTGTCTCTACTAAAAATACAAAAATTAGCTGGGCATGTTGTATGCCTGTGATCCCAGCTACTTGGGAGGCTGAGGCTGGAGAATTGCATGAACATGGGAGGTGGAGGTTGCAGTGAGCCGAGATCACCCCATTGCACTCTAGCCTCAGTGACAAAGTGAGACTCAGTTTCAAAAAAAGGGAAAGAAAAACAAAGGGATAAGCCAAAAATAGACAGATCTGGCTTTGGAATACAGAGATGCACACATCTACTCACCCATTTAGGTGCGCACATCTACTCACTCATCTACTCACTCCCTCAACCCTACTATGGCCGACTCTAAACTGGTCTCTCCCCCAAGCCTCCCGTTACCTAAGTGTGGAATGGCCAGTTGGGAAGAAAAGGCGCTGGATAATTCTAGACCAACTCTGCGTGATTATCCAGTTTCTAAAGTGTGGATGAATCATATCTCTTGCAAGAATGCATGTGGAAACCATCTTAGATCTAGATATAACTACCTATCTCCAGTGGTCAGATACTGTAGTACTAGAATTTGGCCAGGGTAGTCGCTGTGCACTTAGTAGAGACAAGACTGAACCATATCACTGGCAACTTTGGGACTGGTGGGGATTTTATTTAATCATCTCTTATATTCCTGCTGAACTGTAGAAGCAGTTGTTTACCTTTGGTGAATTTCAGCGTTGCTTCAGAGAAATCCTCTTCTTTGTAATTGAATCCAGCAGCTGCTCCAAGCTTTTCTGCCATTTGAAGCTTCTGCTGGGAGCCAGCTGTGACCAGAGGAATGGCTCCAGCCATCCGGGTGAGTTGGATCGCAGCTGTGCCCACACCACTCAGTCCTGCATGGATTAGCACGTGGTGTCCAGCCTGAACATTTCCTGTGACAGAAAGTACAGGGTTCTCTTTACTTTGCAACTGCTGCACAATCCCCACGCAGACATATTCTATCAAGATCACCTGGCCATTGCGCCAAATGCCAAATCAATCTTTTGCTTTTCCTTTTTTACTGGGGGAGAGCTGGTGGGGGTAGGATGCTGTGACTCAAATACAAACTGTCTTGCTTTCTTTAGAGTGCATGTTTTTAGAGAAAGATAAAAAGCATTTTGACAGTCCCTTTTTGTCTTATCTCTAGCTAAAGTGGAAAACAGGCTTTTGAAATAGGGCTATAAGCAGCTCACATCCATAATCTCTATTTTACTTATGATATAACACCAAAATGTACATCTCTGACTTACACCTGAATAAGTAAGAACAACTATCATTCCCATGGTCACCACCGAAGCCAGTCCTTCTAGAGTCTGAAACTGACTACCAGCTAGTCTTTCTGATCCAGGCAACACACAGCCACCAGGCTCCTCTTCCTAAGATGGCCCTTTCATTATGTTCCTTCCTCCTTACAATGTAAACTGCTTCTCCATTGGCTTTTGCATTGAGTCCAGACAGCTTGATATTCAAGGACACCATGGTCTGGCCCCAGCCTCATTTTTCACAAGTGACTATAGTCATCCTTCACTACTGAGTTCAGTGGCTGGGCTCACCTTGATACTCTTTTTCTTTTTCTTTGAGACAGAGTCTCACTCTACCGCCCAGGCTGGAGTGCAGTGGCACGATCACGGCTCATTACATCCTTTACCTTCCTGGGCTCAGGTGATCCTCCCACCTTAGCCTCCTGAGTAACTGAGACTACACACATGTGCCATCATACCTGGCTAATTTTTGTATTTTTTATAGAAACAGGGTTTTTGCCCAGGCTGGTCTTGAACTCTTGGGCTCAAGTGATCTGCCTTCCAAAGTGCTATGATTATAGGTGTGAGCCATCTAGCCCTGCCCATACTCTTTCTTAGGCTACCTTAGCATGCCTTATGTCCTTCAAAAGTCTACCCACCCTTCAAAGCCTTCTCTTCCAACAAGCTTTCTGACTACCCTTCTCCAGACCAACTTTTCCCATCTCCAGCTTCTATTGTAGTTAGAGACAGGGCTCTCCTTTCAAACTCTATGGTCATCTGATCTTATGCATATGTTGCCTTCCCAGTTACTCTCTTCCCACTTACTTCCCTGCGTTCTTTAAAGGCAAGGACCGAGACTTCTTACACTCCCTTATGAGTTCTTGACTGGCCTCAATGGGATTGAGGAGGAATAAATGAGTCGATTGGCCCCTTCTGTTGCACTGGGAACCCCAGAGAGAAGCTCAGCATGATTTTGAGAAGCTGGGACTGTTGCTGGGCCTCCGGTGTTAAGATGTACATAGGCCTCCTATCCAGTGTTATCCAGGCCTTCTATCTGTTAACCATGATTCTCAGCCTCAACATCAAACCCTTCTAACATGGTTTGAGGACCTGACACTACAGGTGGTACAGCAGGGCCTGGGAGTGCCCTGGAGGATTGCTGGGATTCAAGGTGGCTGATTTATGAAGGTATTGAGCCACAATGTGTGGAGTGAGCAGGGAGGCCTCCTCACCCACAAGATGTAACAGCTGGAAGGCGGTGAGCCAGGCCTCTGGGATGGCTGCAGCCTGGAGCAGGGTCAGTCCCTCTGGGATAGGCATGAGGAGCCCCTCAGGGACAGTGACGTACTGAGCCTGGCCCCCACCAGGCAGAAGAGCCATGGCTGCATCCCCGATCTTCCAGTGTCCCTGACAGCCAGGCCCCAGCTCTGCCACATGCCCAGATGCCTCAAGTCCCAAAATGTTGCTGGCTCCTGGAGGTGGGTCATACTGGCCTTGTCTCTGCAGAGAAAGAAGTTCACTAAGCAGTGAGAATGATCAGAAATCTGTGTCTCACCACCCTTGGCCCCTCTTCCAATATCCCTGCTTTTTTCATTTTCATAAATAAATTTCAGGATGAAATCAGGTTTTTGTAAGTCAGGAGAAGAGAAAGGAGAGGCCACTGGTTTTATGCAAATGAACTGGAGGTCAAATGATTAGTGGATGTTATAACTGGTAGAATCCTTAGCTATTTACCTTGTCTGAACCTCTTGCTTTACAAATGGAGAAACTGAGTCACAGGCAGGGGAAAAATTAGTAGTGGGATTAGGAACAAAACTGTGGAGTCCTTGATGATGGTTCCCATGCATCAAGCACTAGGCTCTGTGCTCACTCACCCCAGTCCTCAGAAGCTGTAGAGCAGAGGGACTTAACTAGGAGGGTGTGCCAGAACCAGCAGAGGAGTGTTTCCAAAGTATATTGCCTCGGCCCCCATCACATTTCTCTTGTACCCCAGGGGATTCGGATACACATTTCTGAATGACCCCAACCAATGCAGCTGGCTCAGGTCAGTGAATCAGTAGCAGACAGAAGAAAATTCTCAGAGTACTGCCTGCTGTCAACTGTGGGACTCTCAGAGTGGAAAGAGCTAAGGGGTCTTTGGAGCCACAAAGACCTCAGCTTGAATCCCAGCTCTTCTAATTGCTAGTGTTGTGGCCTTGGGTTTTCTGCTTAACCTCTTCAGTTTCTTTTCTGTATAATGAAGAGGGTGAACTGGGTAGCCTGGGGAGTAAATGTGCCCACACCCCACAACAATGTTAGTTCCTCCCTCCTTATCAGGAAGCCTGAGCTGCTAAGGATTAGCAGGGGGTGGATTCTGCTTTGCAAATACCCCCACTTGTTTTGTGTGAACCAAGGGGGCTTTCTGGGTTTAGGTCTGGGAACCCCAGCGCACCTGCCTGCTGAGTGTGGGGCGGTGCGCGCCTTCACGTCTGGTCAATGTTCACTGAGTGCTGTTGAGAGGGAGGCTCTGGAGTCCCGCCCGCCCCCGCACGGCTGAGCTAGAGGTACCTGCATTAAGTCCGCCCGGTTTAAGGCGCTGGCCGCCACTTTCAGGAGGACTTCACCCTCCCCCGGGCTGGGCTTGTCCACCTCCTTTACGTAAAGGTTTTCTGGTCCACCCGGCTTGTCAAAGTGCACGGCTAACATGTTCTCTGAGGACACAAGGCAGAACAGGAAAGGGCAGGGCAGGGGCTGCTGTGTCCTTGCTGAGCAGCCCAGCTTCAGGCCGGCACCGCGGCGCCCCCTGCCGCCCCGCGCCTTGCTGTGCTGGTCTCCCACGGACCCGGCCCCAGCCCCGTGCTCCTGCCTGGGAGTTCCCCGGCCGCCTCCAGACCAACCCCACCTGGAACACAGGTTGGAACGGCGGGAAGTGGGATGGCGCTACCGAACTGGAAGCGGCAGAGAAGAAAAACGACAAAGAGCGTCAAGCAAATTGCACTCCCTCTTAGTTGGAACCCCCCAGCCCAACCCGGGTCTCCGGCGCCTTGTGAATTACTTACTCCTGGCCGGGCTACCTTCCTGGCAGCGCTGAGTGGTTCTGGCTCTTGCGGGTCCCAGTAGCAGAGCCCGAGCCCCAGAGCCCCGGGACTGCCTCTGCCACCACTGGAATGGACGGCTGGATTCTGGGCAGCCGGAGGGGTGGGGCCGAGTAGAACTACCCTCCCTCTTTTCCCTTTCCTCCTTCCCCCTTTAAAACGCAAAGTTAGAAGCAAGCAAATCAGATTTTCTTGTCCTTTTAGCCTGTAGAAAAAGAGTCTTTCTCTCAGCTTGGCAGAAAATACGATTCTAGCTCTCACTGCAAGGAGAGGAAACTTCCCTCTCTCTAGGGAACGAGACCCAACCTCTTGGCAGGCGGACTGGTCCATTTTCCAGGCAAGGCCAGGCTTTTGGCACATTTAATGTAACAGGCTGGCATCCTGCCCATCTTGAGAATGAGTGGGCAAACGGGGTGCTGCTAAGAGAAGAGAGAGGAGCAGTTGGGGGGGTGGGGAAGGAAGGCAAAACGCAGTCCTGGGATCCCTTATCACGCCCCCTCCTCCTTGACAGTCCTGGGGGAGACGTTCAGCTCCAGGAGAAGCTTGCCGGCGATTTTGACTGAGTAAAAGCTGTATCCGTAAGTTACATCAAGGTTTCTCAACTTTGGCACTATTGACATTTGGGACTAGATAATTCGTTGTTGTAGGAGATTGTCCTGTGCACTGTAGGATGTTTAGCAGCATCCCTGGCCTCCTCCCAGTACATATCCATAGCACCCCTTGTAAATTCCTGTTTTAGTAAAAACCTCCCATCCTTGACATCTGATCACCCTCAATATCTGATCTAGTTCCTCATCCTCCACCATCCCCTAAGTGATATCCGACCACTGTGGCCTGTCTTCAGTAAGAATCCTGTTAGGTCAGTTTAAATAGAATCTCCGTTACCCCTGATGCCTCTTCTTACTCATTTTCCATCCGTTGACCCCTACGCTGCTCCTTGGCTATTCATTCCCACTTGTCCATGATGCATTCAGAGTTGATCCCGACCTGTCTCCTCCACTGCAAGACCCCATTGCAGTGGTCCCTGTACCTGTAGTGATGGTGCTAAATAAAGTCTTCCTTAATGTACTTTAACAAGTGTCATTGAATAATTATTTCTTTAACACAACAGAGCAAAAGCCTATAGAGATGGAAATCTTAAAATGATGGGACTTAAGGAAACATTCAGGAGATCCTGCTATGAGAATAATAGGAATTTTAGAAGGAGGAAGAGGAATGGATGAAGAAGACTCAATAGTTAAACAAATAAATTCTAATAATGCCAACCACTAAGTATACTAAAGTATCCCAAGAAAACTAGAATTGAAAGTGCTTAAGATTTTATCTTTGTGAGGGCCAGCACGATGGCTCAAGCCTGTAATCCCAGCACTTTGGGAGGTGGGCAGGTCGTGAGGTCAGGAGATTGAGACCATCCTGGCTAACATAGCAAGGAGCAAGACTTCATCTCAAAAAAAGATTTTTATCTTACTGAGCCCCTTGGTTAATGTAATCCTATTGTAATCTTATAGTGTGTAATAAATATATATTTTTGGTCTTCGTCCTGGGTTCCTGCATTAGCACTCTTAAAACCTTTGTTATTTTCTGAATAAGCATCTCTTTCTTTCTTTTTAATTTTTTTTTAATTTAACTAGATATGGGGTCTTGGTATGTTGCCTAAGCTGGTCATGAACTGGACTCAGGCAATTCTCCCACCTCAGCCTACAGTACTGAAATTATAGGCATGAGGCACTGTGCCTGGCCAATAAGTGTCTTTTATTCTAACAATGTGTTCTTGTACAGAGCTCCTAAAACCCTTGGAATTTCTTATGTGATAGAAGTGACTTTTTATATTCATAACAAGCCCTTATAAGCACACTGGAGTTTATGCTAATAAAGTGACGTAGAGTGGGGGCCCTAGATAGCTTCAGAATGAGCTGGTCACCAGAAAGACCCTGGGAAAGGGAAGCAGGGGAGATTTCGTGCTATAAAAACTCTTTTTTGTTGTTGTTCTTGAGAATGAGTCTCACTCTGTTGCCCAGGATGGAGTGCAGTGGCTTGATCTCAGCTGACTGCAACCTCTGCCTCCTGGGTTCAAGTGATTCTCCTGCCTCAGCCTCCTGAGTACAGGCATGAGCCACCACATCAGGCTAATTTTTGTGTTTTTAGTAGAGATGGGGTTTCACCATCTTGGCCAGGCCTGTCTCGAACTCCTGACCTGAGGTGATCCACCTGCCTTGGCATCCCAAAGAGCTGGGATTAAAGGTGTGAGCCACCCCGCCTGGTCCTAAAAACTCTTGAACAGTGAAATTTGGTGGGCTTCCTAGCTGGTGAACACATCCACCATGGGAAGGTGATGCGGTATACCGCAACTCTGTGGGGACAGAGACCGCAACTCCGTGGGGACAGAGGCTCCTGCACTTGGGACCCTTCTGGACCTCATGGTATGTACCTCTTTTCCTGGCTGTTTATCCCTTTATAATTTTTTTTTTTTTTTAAGCAGAGTATGGCTCTGTCACCCAGGCTGAAATGCAGTGATGCAATCTTGGGTCACTGCAACCTCTGTCTCCTGGGTTCAAGCTATTCTCCTGCCTTGGCCTTCCAAGCAGCTGAGATTACAGATGTGCACCACCAAGCCCAGCCAGTTTTTACATTTTTAGTAGAAACAGGGTTTTGCCATGCTGGCCAGGCTGGTCTTGAACTCTTGGCCTCAAGTGATGCACCTACTTCAACCTTCCAAGGTGTTGGGATTACAGGCATGAACCACTGCACCCAGGGTATGATATTCTTTATAATAAACTGGTAAACATAAATGTTTCCCTGGGTTTTGTGAACCATTCTAGCAAATTATCAAACCCAAGGAGGGAGTCATAGAAATCTCTGATTTATACATTCAGTTGGTCAGAAGGATAGGAGGCTTGGATTTGCAGTTGGCATCTTTAATGGGGGCAACATTGCTGGACTGAGCCCTTAATCTGTGGGATCAGACACTAACTGCAGGTAGAGAATGTCAGAATTGAATTGTGGAACATCCAGCCTGTGTCAGAGAATTGGTTGATGTGGGATAAAACCTGCATATCTAGTGTCAGAAACGAAGTGTTCTGTGTGAGAGTGTAGAAACTGTGGTTTCCCTGGTATGGGAAAATATATTATATTTATATTTAGTAGAAATATAATTGGATACATTCAGTAGAAATGTATCCAATTATGAAAGTTGGGAAATGGTCTGGGTGAGGTGGCTCACACCTGTAATCCCAGCACTTTGGGACGCCAAGGCGGGTGGATCAGTTGAAGTCAGAAGTTCAAGACCAGCCTAGCCAACATGGTGAAACCCCATCTCTACTAAAAATGTAAAAATAAGCTGGGTGTTGTGGTGGGCGCCTGTAGTCCCAGCTTGTTCTTTATAAAAACCAGTAACATGAATGAAATGTATTGTGAGTTAGAGCTGGGAAACAAGACATAGCCAAAGTCTGAAAGGCTGGGAATGAGGAGGGAGACATAACCACAGACATAGGAGTGACTAAAAGAAGAATACATCATATTACTTGAAACTCTACAATAACAAGTTGTAAAATCTAGAAAAAATGGAAGATTTTCTAGCAAAATTACTTCTTTCTACTTAATGGGTGGAGTATTTTCTCCTCATTCTGTTGATGTTGGGTTTGGCGCTCTTACTTTGGTCAATGATGAGTGAGGAAGCCATGGTCAGTTTCCGTCAGTCCCTTTGCCCTCCTGCCACCCACAGGTGGCCTCTATTTCACCTTGTCCCCTAGTGAGAAACACTCAGGGTAGCCCTGAATCCAACTTGTCTCAGGACCAGCCCAGCACAGTCACAACCGAGGAAGAAATAGACATTTGTTGTCATAAGTAGTTAAGATTTGGGGGTAGTTTATTTTTGCAGCAAAGGCTGGTTAATAAAGATAAAAATGTCTTTAAAAAATTATCTGGGAGGAGGGGAAATGAGGCCTCATTGTTTAATGGGTACAGAATTTCAGTTTTGCAAGATGAAAAATATTCTGGAGATGGATGGTTGTGATGGTTGTACAATAACATGAATGTACTTAATACCACTGAACTTAAAATGGTTAAGATGGCAAGTTTTAGGTTATGTATATTTTCCTACACTTAATAAATAAATAAGAAAATGTAAACAAAAGCCATATAAGAGTAAAGGGAATAGTATAACGAGCCCCTGTATACTCATAATGCAACTTCAACAATTATCAACTACTTAGTCAATCTACTTAGTGCTTCACAATAGGAGACATATAATGTCTAATTGAATCTCACTTTGTGGTGTTAAGACATTGGCTGGGCGTGGTGGCTTATGCCTGTAATCCCAGCACTTTGGAAGGCTGAGGTGGGCAGATCACTTGAGGTCAACAATTTGAGACCAACCTGGCCAACATGGTAAAACCCCATCTCTGGAGAAATACAAAAATTAGCCAGTCGTGGTGGCTTGAACCTGTAATCCCAGCTACTCAGGAGGCTGAGGCAGGAGAATTGCTTGAATCTGGGAGGCAGAGGTTGCAGTGAGCCAACATGGCATCACTGCACTCAAGCCTGGGCGACAGAGCAAGACTCTGTCTTGGAAAAAAGAAAGAAAGAAAACGACATTATTGGGTTCAGATATTG